GAGAGAGCTTCGGGCTCCTTCCGTGGAGCTTTTGAGTTTTGCACAGGGGATCTTAAGGGTTCGGGATCTTGAGGGTTACATGTGCGGCTCTAAGGCTGCGAGTTTCGAGTTCTAGCCAGGGCTTCAATTTGCTGGGTCTTAGAGGCTCTGCTTTACGAAGATTCTTCAGAGGCGCATCAAAGGGCCAACCTCGAGTTTGGGCTTTAGAGTTCAGGGCTTAGATTTCAGGGAGGCTGAATTGTCAGTTTGGAGGGACCCGAAGCCTCTCAGACAACTTGAACCCTAAACCCAAGGCCTTGGGTCCATACATCTCTACCCCGAACCCTGCCGTTTTCATTAAAACCGCATGGGCCCCTATGAACAGAACGCAACTGCCGGCCGACTCATTACTGCGACACCGTCCGAGTCAAGTGCGGATGACTCCGAAGGTACCACGCCGTCCATGGCAAAGCTGAGATCTTCGTAGCAGGGCTCCATCAGACCTCCCCGCAGTTAGCAGATGCCGATTTTGGAACGTCGTCGTGGTGCAGGGCTACGTGACCGAGATGCTCGACTTCATAACCGCCTGGCCGTCTACCTTTCTGAGCCAGTTCGTGTGGACAGAATGTCTCCTTGTTTGGCGGCGCGTGTCCTTCCAGCGGCAGGACTCAGTGTAGGCTTGGCACCAGCACTCGATGCAAGCACCAAGTGAAGAACATCCAAATCCTGAAACCTTTAACTCGTAAACCCCCTACACTACAGTTACTACAGCCTCAGTCCCAAGCCCTAAACCGTCAGTTTCAGCCCTGAAGCCCAAGATCCCAAAGCCTTAAACGTTACGAGCTTCAGGTTTGGTTCTGTGGCAGCGGATCCCAGATCTCCGGGAGACGGGCCAGAGCTGACCGACTACGGCGTCTTGAAGTCCCCTCAGGACAATCTGACAATCTTGGCTTCTACAGGATATGGAGGTTCAGGGTTTAGGATCCACATCAGCTCTTAACATGTAGTAAATGTAGAGCATGAAGGGGTTTGCTCACACATGTCTTCGGTTTCATGTCATTTGGCTTTGGGCTGGATATCTGGTAAACTGTGATACCGCACGTTTGGCAATGTTGTTGATAGTGGGGCTTCGTGTCAGTTTCTCTTGCCGGGTCTACCATGGTGAGGGCTATCTTGTTCCAGGGCTGTTGAAATAGGACTTCACGTCGCTGTCTTCGGTTACCAAGGTCTGAGGTGGTAGGAGGTTGTAGTGCCCTATCGGCTTGATAAGATCACAGGTGCATAGTCCAAAGAAGAATCCTTGCGTACTTGCGTACACTACACATGGCGACATGCACTCACACATGCACGCATGTCTTCCTCTGTGCGAACAATGTCTGGACGGACATCTACTACGAGAAAGTTTATCAAAGTCTTCAGGACGTCCACGATCCTCGCATTCGCCAGCCCGAATGGCATGTCCATGGTTTTTAAGAGGTCAGCACATGTGCACAGGTCGGCCTGCAGGGTCTACGTTAGACTCTTGTGTGCATAGTCCATGGATGTGCCACCACTGTCCCACGTCCTGCCACATAGCCTGGCTGGTATACACCCCAGGTTATAGAGTGTTTTGAGTGCTATGGTGCCAGGTCTTTAACACATGGGCTGAGGGTTTAGAGCTCCTTCGTCCAGGAGCGAGTGATGCTGATTCGAGGCCCTGCGAAAAAGATTCATATTGAATCTAGGCTAGGGCTTTCGTTTTTTGGTTCAGGGTTGATATGGTTTAGGCTCTTCGCAGGGTGGTTTGGGTTTAAGTAGGCTTTGGATAGGGGTTTACGAGAGGGTATTCGGCTGTCTGCCGCTGGGTCCAGCGGGTCCAACTTGTGGCTTCGGATGTGCAGCTCACCGAGGTTTACGATTCGGAGTTGTCTGGCCGTCGGTGTTCGGAAGGTGTTCGTAAAAGGGAGGCTTCTGGTTGCATGACACCGCAGTTTGGGTTCACTGGATTTCTCTCGATTCCCTGGAAACTGCAACTGCGTCCTGTGACGGTAGAACACCAATCCTGGCCCTGGCTGGAAGCTTGAAGCCGCACCTGCGAAGCTCGAAACAATTTACGATAGCCAGGTAGGACCGAAGTTTGTTCTTTGCGTCCGGAGCGCATGTTGTGCTGTAGGGTCAATGATCCCCACCGCTGAGGGCTCAGGGTGCCGATTCCCCGAACCTTCCAACCTGCAAAGTTTCTTCCCAACCCGAAAGAAGCGCTTCTTGCGTTTATCGCTGATCCTAACTGTTTTGTCAAGTACCGGATTAACGGTAGTGCCCCCAAGACACACAACTTTTGGACTTTTTGTAACTTGAATCAGCGCATGATGTTCTGCGTCCTGCCACTACCGGGCACAAGGAGCCCGGGAATGCTTGTTTGATGGACTCCTTTCCAGGAATGCACAGAGTGAACAGGACCGGGGGAGATGAAGTTGCATCCTACACCCCGAAGTTTCCTACGTCAAAGGAGTTACAGAATTTTGAAGGGGTCCCGCCTGATGCCCATGGAAGTTACGGAACCCTTACGACACTCATTTTGTGAAAGTTTTCTAGTTTCCAGGGCATACATGAAAGGTTTGCAGAGATCTATAACCCTATGCCACCCAAACTCATGAGCTGCACCCGCATGGAGGTTACAGAAATTCTCAGTGGCGGAAGATTGACTTGAAGAGAGTGGACTTCTCTCAAGCCAAGTCCTGGCTTCTCGAGGATGGAACTCTCGGCATTAAGGCGCCGCTTGAGCAGTTTGCTGTATTTCAGAGGCCCTTCTTACTGCAGTGAATGGTGTACCCTGACCTGACGAGGATGAGTGGCACTTTCATGTAGAATCTTTAGAAAACTGTACGGGAGAGGCTCCTCCTCCGAGTTCGGATTGCCACGACTACTACTCAGAGCGAAACTTCCCACAAGTCAAAGCACAAACTGTTGGGACGACCATGGCTCTGTACGTCGAAGTTTCAAACCAAGACTTGGAGATTCGCTGTACACAAGGTCTAAGATCTTGACTTTTCGCTGAGGGAGTAGATGTTGCGGTCAGAGGCGTTTAAACGGGCTTGTTTGATTCGGGGAGTTTCTCAGAGACACCGCCAATGCGCTAGACGGCAAAAGGCTCCAGGCCTAATTTCACGAAGACTCGAGCCTCAAGAGCTCATAAATTTAGTTGTTGGGGTTTAGTTAAGGTTTACAAGGCTTAAAGGGCGTACCATCAGGATATAGATATTCATTTCATTTCGATAGCTCAATAATATAAGGTCCCGTGCTTAGGGCCGTCTTCAACTGCCAAGCGTTTGAAGAATGCGACGCCCGGCTGCAGGATGTAACCTGTTCTGCTGGCACCTGCAAGCCGTCAGAGCCAGGGCATGTCTCTTGGCATGTAGAGACTTAAGATACCTCCCAAATCACAAAGCTCGCCACTTCGCAGTGACAACTATCGGGGAGGGGGTCGGTGTTTAGCTGGGAATCATTCTGCCCTGATCGCGTGTGTCGGTGTGTAGGGTCCCCTGCAAAGTTGCGCACTTCAGTGAGTGTAGCAGAACAGATAACTGTGCACATTCTCAAATTGAGATGATGCCGGGTAGCGCATGACAATGTGCAAGGTTCCTTATCTCTTCTCCCTGATTGTCTTTCAGAAGACGAAAAACCCAAGCTTGCTGCCCCGATTTCTGCTGACTTCGATTAGCCGAGAGGCCGGGCAGCAGCTGTTTCTGGTACAGTCCGCACTCCAGGAACTTTTCCCTAACGCATGCAGCGAATCATTTCATCTGTCTTGCAACCTTAGGGCCTTAGGGCTCAGAGGGTGCAGGGTTTGGCCGTTTCCCTGATGATTCCCAATTTGTGCCTCGCGCGCGTGTCATTCTCTTTCCCAGTTCGGCCCGAAACCTCTCAATTTCCCCTATGATTAAGGTCCCAATCCAAGTCTGAGCTGTTGCATCGCTGGAGTCTTTCGATGGCCGCCCTGCAACAGCTCAGGGTGCATACATCCCAAGACCTCCTGCATTGTACAGAATTAGCGGTCTGGGTCTACGTAAGAGGTTTAGGGAGTTGACGCGTCTCCCCTCTCCGTGAGGAGGATATCGCAACGCACCTAGCCAGAGTTTTGATGTCCCATGAAACAGAAAAGCGCTCGTGCTCAGCCAGGTCCTCAAGCCAAAGGGACTTAGATACCACGTCGGGATCTCTTGATTGATGGCTCAGAAGGCCACAACTTCTAAATTTCGCTTTCCTGAAGGCCCCACTGTAGCCGTGACAGGCCAGGTGTCGAGCTTTAGAGCTTCAGAGTTTTAGAGTGTCTGGGTACGAGATTTTGCGGCTCAGAGATTAGGGTCTTAAGGGGTTTAGGCCTTCGGCTGTGCAGCGATCTTTAGTTGTTAACGAAACTTCCGCTTGCCAAACCCCACCTGTCCCAAGTTACATCTCTGCACAGCCTCCCAGCTCCACATTAGATTTTGGGTATGTCTGGCTTAGGGGCCCCTGCACGAGCCTACTCCGATCCAGGGACTATGACTATGAGTTATGGACTTCTGCAGCCCAGCCCAGGCCTTCAGGAGCCAAATAATGGACCCTGGTTTCCACAATATTGTCCGATCACTCTCTCTGCACGAATTTCGTGCCATTTTGGCAATCCGCTAGCAGTCGAAGAATCCGCCCGGCGCATCTTCGAAGCAAACAGTAGCATGTTCCGAGGAATTGGAGCATTGAGCAGGTCTAGATCATGCTAGATCATTCTGCCTATACCCTGCCGGGTAAGTATGGTTATTTAGCCCTCGTGATGGCTGGGATCCTTCATTTGGAAGCATGGCATCCCTAAAAACCCACAAGACATCCTTTTGATGCAGATTGGTATGCTTACAAGATAACTACCCGCCTCTTGGGTTCCGGATTGGGGTATCAGAACCTGGGCTCGAGGCCACTGAAATGGGTTTTGGTGCTGGATTGAGGAGGTGCAAGAATAGTACTACACCCCCCAAAGCCTTTGAACCCGGAGAAGCCGCGATTCCGAGGCGCGCAAACCTGAACTACCAGGAAAAGCGCTATGCCAAGGACGGAGACCTTAGTGAAGCCAGGGCGTTGGCTTTGGGTTTATCGATTGTGGTTCAGGACGTAGGCGGTTCAGGGTTTACGGGTTGGGGTTGCTGTGGGTCGTGGCTCAGGGTCTATGATTCGTGGGTCGTGGCGGGTTTACGGGTTGGGGTTGCTGTGGGTCGCGGTTCAGGGTTTATGATTTGTGGGTCGTGGCTGAGGGTTCGGGGTTTACCGTTTTGGATACATGTAAGGGTCCTTTTTGGTGTTTTGGTGCTGCATATGTCAGGTGTCGGGCTCCGTGCGTGAGAGTTTCGAAACAGTGGCAAACTCACGGAACAAACATAAGGATCCACACACGCACACACACATACATGCATGCCTGCATATATGCATATCTGGAAATGTATACCATGATAAGGACTGTTGAGGCTCCCAGTCGTATAGTATAGCCGCGACCACCTGAGGGCTCACGTGTGTATATGAACTGTATGAATGAATATCTAGACATTTACGAACATGTATATGTCCAGCTAAAATACTGACACCGGCACATGTACGTACCGACTCCGAAGCCCTTTGCCCCCAGCCTTCGCAACTGAGCCCCACCCCCCAAATGCCAACTGTCGTACGGACGTGCTTGGGGTGTCGTTGCAAAGATGGTCATGAGTCTTATGGCCGTGCAGAGAACAGATACCAACACACAGTGCCGGGAATTGAGGGCCGCTGTTTGTGACCAAGATTCTGCTAACCTTGCCCATTTTAGTCCCCAAGTGGTGCAAGTGGTGCAAGTCAAGGTGGGCAAGATGAGCAAGATTGCCCCCCTTCTCCACCCCCCAAGTGGTGCAAATGGTGCAAGTGGTTATTTGCAAGGTTGCGCGCCCATCTCGCACGCAAGTTTGCCGTTCAAGCTTGGTCAAATATCAGCCCTCCTTTCACGGCACGCTGTCCGCTGTACCAACAGCAGCGAAGAGCTGAAACATCTCAGGCCCTACTGTATGGGAGTTTCCGAAAATAGGGGTACCTTATTTGGGGCTCCTTATAACAAGGATCCTACTATCTAGGTTACTATATTAGGGTCCCCTGCTTTTGGAAACTCCCGTATACCTCAAGCACCACCTTCAGGATGGAAAAGCCTACAATGCAGATGGGTTTCAACAGTACTACGGCGCCAACTACCTGTGCCGCGGCTTCGACAGCCTGGGGCTGCAGTGTTTTCTGTGTTTTGCACGATGTAAATTCTCTACCATGTGCCCAAAAAGACATGTGCATATAGTACAGATATACTCATACATGCACCTGCACAAGCGCATACACACACCCAAACAATATACATATATATATATATATATATATATATATATATATATATGTATATGTACATGTATTTGTATTTGTATTTGTATATGTAGATGTATGTATATATGTATGTATATATGTATGTAGATATGTATGCATATACATATGTATATTTATGTGTATATATGCAGCCGTGTATCTTATGTGTATACATATATATATATATATATATATGTATATGTGTATAGATGCATCTATGTATATATGTATGTATGTACATATGTATATATGTATATATGTGTATATGTGTGTATCTGTGCATGTGTGTATCTGTGTATGTGTGTATCTGTGTATATGCGTATGTGTGTATGTGTATGTATATGCATATGTATATGTATGTGTATTTATATACATCTATATATATACATATATATATATATGTATCATATCATATCATATCATATCACATTTACAATATTGTGCGCATTGTTATGTAACTAACTACAAACATTACAAAACATGCATGCATGTAGACATGCATATCTACATATGTACACTATATATATATATATGTTTATATATATATATGTATGTATATGTATATGTAGATTATATGTATATGTATATGCATATGTAGATGTATATGTATATGTGTATGTGTGTGCATGCATATATATATATATATATATATGTACGTATATGGTGCAGCGTTGGTACCCCTACACCTGCCTGCTCCCCTGTATGGAACACTTTCGGTGGGCGGGTGGGTGGGTGAGTGAGTGGGTTCAGGTTTTGGTTAGGGCGGTCAGGGAAGAAAGGCCCCTGTCCCTCTAAATGTGGGCGGGCCCGTCCTGAGTTCAAAGGAGAATGAGGTTCCACTGAAGGCCCTGAAGCTCTCGAACCGTAGGCGGCACTGAAGCCTGGAGCTTAAAAAAGGCCTCCACAGACCCTGCAAGCTTCAGGCCTAAGATATACATATAGATATATACACACACACTTATTTATTTGTACCTGCATATACACATATATACTGGTTAACGTGGTTATATGTATATCTCCTGCTGCTCGGTGGTTTGTTGGAGTTTGCGTTGCTGTGGGGTTTGAGCCCAGGGATTTGTTCTTGTGGGGTTGCTGGCTCCATGGTTCCAATGTTTGCGGTTGCTGTCTCGATGTGTCGCGTGAGAATTAGAAAGCATCCATTCCCTCAAACGGCCCTTCGCAGACACCACAGTCACCTGAAATGCCAGGAAGGAATGGAGCGATGCACCGTCGGACAAGCGCATCGCCCCTGACTCCAAGGTTCTCGGCCTAATGTTTGGGGCTGCAGGGTCTAGTTTTTAGGGCTTTCCGGGGAAAGTGGTAGAGGTGTCGCTTGTGCTTGTATGGCTGAATAGCAATGGGTTTGGGCGAAGGTTTCCGGATCCGCAATTTTTGGGTCGGCACGGAGGCGCGGCTTCGGGGGACGATATCCCACAGCCTTCGCTTCGTTTCGTTGCTGGGACTTTTCTGGAATTTGCAGCTACCCAGGCGCTGATCTGCATATATGTATGTAGATGTAGTTAGGTAGGCAGGCAAGCATCAGTATGTATGTGCTGTAAATACCTATGACATGTATACATATGTAGGTGTACCGCCATATACACATACATATGAGCATGTTTCTACAAATGCATATACACACTACCACACACATGCCGATTGACTATGATATCACCGCTGCTGCTGCTGCTGCTGCTGCTGCTGCTGCTGCTGCTGCTGCTGCTGCGGGTTTTGTGGTCGTTGTTGTTGGTGGCGGTGGCGGTGGCGGTGGGCACATGCTGATGATCATGGTGCTGCCGATGACTACCAACAACGACAGCATCACAGCAAAGTATTGCCGCTGACTGCCAACAATGCCAGCAACGACACTGCACTGCCACAATCTGATGGGGGCATATATGTATCAATAGTACCACTGCTGTTAGCTCTTGGCAGAGTTCATTTTGCGGAGATGTGTCTGTCGGGTCATAAAATGAAGAGGCGTTCCCTCAAGCTCTCCGGAATCTGTTCCGTTCGAAACTCGCAGTTCGCCCATGCTGGCACAGCTCATGTCGCGCTCTAAACCCAAATAAGCCCAGCACACAAAATCCAACCCGTAGAGTGCTCGGTCTTGAAGGCATACAGCGCAAGCCAGTTCCGCATGTACTTCCAGGGCTCCTGGGTGGCTCGGCATGCGATTCATGGTTCGGGACTTTGGGCTTCGGGCCGTTGAGAAGTGTCATTGATTGATCTCTTAACGGGCAGGCTTTGATGCTCAGGGCTTGAAGTAGAGTCGATTGTGTCAAGTATCACCAGGTATGGCTTCTACGCCGGACGAGCCTCTTTGCTTCCGCAGCCGTTGGGTTGGGGATTTCGATGCTACCACGAGGAACAACAACAGCACGGGGGAGGTCGCTGGATTGCATGTCACGGCAACGAAAGCAGCCGCGACGCTGCAGTTTTCGCCGTACGATAAGTTACACAAGTGTTTACCCAGAGTTTCTACTCGGTGGTCGCTGGCTCCCTTATGACTCATGACATCGTTTGCGCTATCCAGCCATGTCATAGCAATGGCACTGGCCGCGATTGTTTTCGGGGCAGCTGTGTGTTTCGCGAGCTTGCTTGTTCACGCACGAATTACAGTCACGCTGCCAGCCGTGTTCCAACAACCGGGTGAAAGAGAAATGTTGTTGCCAGGTCGTACTGCAACCACAACCACAAGTGTTCCCTCAAAGTTTGAAGATACCGTTGCCAGCTCCAGTACAAGCATGCTTGCCCAAGCCCAACCGCTTGAGCACACTGCTCTCAGCGCAAAGAGCCCTTCGGCGTTGCCCGCTGAGCCTCCGGCCGTCCGATCGGTGCAGAACCACATCTACAGACTTGAGTCGGCCCAAGGCGACACTTCCTGCGCCGCGTACCGCATGGATCAGGAACTCAAAGGGTCTGGGTTTGATCCTGTCCGATATCCCTGGTCCATTGTTAGGCAAGGTACAACTGCAGGCAATCCCGAGGTCCTGTATGGAACAGCTTATGCACAAAAAGTGGTTTGGGAGCATCAGCATCCTGCGAATTGCAGCAACGCGAGCTTCCTGATGTACTCTCTCCACGAAGCGGGCATGGGTTCGCAGCTACACTGGATGGGGCAAGCCCTGGCCTTAGCGATGAATCTGGGCCGAGTCCTTGTCATCTCTACGGAGGACTTGAACGTGAAGCTTTACGATTCCACTTTTTGCCCGGGGGCCTCGGGCTACGAGTGCTGGTTGCAGAACATCACGTCCTGTCGCGATGTTGGTGTTGGCGAAGATGTGTTGGAACTCCGTGGACATCCGAAGATGGAGCGCGAGCCAGCAGAGAACTTTCACACCCAGAGTGTGCCAGTGGTGTTTCATGAGATGTTGGCCAAGTGCTCCCCTATCAAGTCGAAATTTTGGTTTTACTGGTGGCGCTCGCAGTCTGTCACGTATTTAGTTCGTTTTAATGAAAAGACTCGCAAAGCATTGGATCGCTTCAGGTCTGAGTCTCTCTACACTTGTAATGAACGACGCATGCCTTCACCTGCTCTCTTGTCGCCGGGCCACATCTCTGTGCACGTACGTCAAGGCGAAAAGAGCGCTGAAGCACAAGTGTTTCCCTTCATAACGTACCTGAAGCAAATGAAGGCCTTGGTGAACAACAGCTCAGAATTGCGAGTGCTCTTCAAGGAAGTCGCCGAGAGCGACACGAACTTTTCGTATCCTTCCGGCGCATACTCGGAGAGGAAGATGTTCCTTTCCACAGAAGACCAGCTCACTGTCCTGAGGGCGTTGAATCTTTGCACGGCGGATCCGCCTTGGCAAGTCACTTGGACCAAAGTGAACCGAAGCTTCCGCCGCTGGGATGCCTGGATGCACCTGCAAAGCGAGCAAGCTGCAAGGCAGCAAGTTCCTTGGCTCTTCTTCAGGATCCCTCTTGAAGATATTCATGTAGGTAGATATGTATATCTGTATGTACGCAATGTCTGTAATTACAAGGCTGTTTACTTTCTTGCTAATGTATTTACGTGTTGCTGCAAGCTCCTTACAACAGCCCAGGCTCTCATAGCCTTCATGAACTTGGAGCTTGCTTTGGAGGCTGATGCCTGGGTCTGCACTTTGTCCTCAAACTGGTGTCGCCTCATCGATGAGCTTCGCATGACGGTCGGAATGAAGGCATCAAAGCCATACCTGAGCCTGTCAACGCATGGAAAGACGAAGGAGCCATGCCCGCCCGAAGAACCACAGTGTTACCTGTGCTACTGATGTACACCTGCGGAGAAAAGAGATTTACTTGGTCGTTGATTGGTTGTTCATGTTGGTTGCAAGATTGTCACAGGGGTTCTGAAACTTTGGCTGTCATCGAGGCGGCATTCTCGATGAGTCGTTTCCTGAATCTGCGCCGGGGTTGAGTCGCCTGGATAGCCAGACAGATCTTTTGAGACTCGCACGATCTAGCGCTCAAGACTGCCTGGCAGCCTGTTTGAAGGTGGTTGGCAGTATTGCGATGGGACAGACGTTTGTGTTTGATTCTAGCGACTCCTGGCAGGGCACGTACATCAACAACGTTCGGCTTTCTGTCAACAGCAGCAGTGGCAACCGAATGAGACTAGCGAAGAACAAAAACTTGGCTTGTCTGCCAGAAACCGTTAGAAGCAGGAGTGTACAGGACTTCTACGTACAAAGTCTTGTTAAGGCTGCTTACAAGTAGGGATGTTGAAAAGATGTCAATCGTAGCTATGACGAAGTTGGATCCTCTATTCCGGGGCGGTGCTGGCCCTAGGACCTTGTAACATCTGTGCTGCAGACATTCAGACTTGACTGAGAGTTTTTGTTTTCGGGTTGATACCCTGCCCCAACGCCCAAACCCTATACCGTCCATCGACGAGAGCACCAGCTTGCCTCGAGGAAAGCAAATGGGAGGCTGCTCCTGTGGCTACGCAGATCCGGCTCGCAAAGGACTCACCAAACATGTGTGGGTGTTGTGTGCTTTGATTGGTTTAGGCGTTAGTTCTTTTTCTTCTGATTTCATGGGTTCTTAGTTGGAGACCATGAACTCCGCAATAGGGGTGGGGGGGAGCACAGGAAACACGTTCGGACGATGCAACTTCAGCAATACTTACAATCACAGGACCCTTTCAAAAATCGAAGCCCGCTTGGTGATGCGACAGCTGCAGCAAAAGGATGGGTTCTGTTCGGCACTGAGGGTTACGGTGCTTCGCGTGATGAGGCCGTGTTTGATGGCTTGATTTGCAGTCGTCCCTAGTTGTGCTGTATCTCGATCATCATCATCACCATCATCATGATTGTGAAGATGGTTTATTTACCATTCTTTGTGTTTGCTTTTATTGCGCTTAAGAACGTTACTACTGCCAATACGATTGCATCCATCGGAGAAGTATTGGGTCTGCTAAGTTTTTTGCGAACTCCTGTTCCTCTCCGAAGCTGTCCTTCTTGTGTTTGTTCGCAGACAAACCTGAATTCCAACCTGG